CAGTCTTCCAAGTATCCTGAAAAATCTACAACCAGGAGAAGATAAAATAGATGAATGGGACCTTCTAAGAATCAAATCCCTATGCATATCCAAAAACTTCTCCAACAGGGTAGAAAGGGAAGCCACAGACTGGGAAAAAGTATTTGGTAGTGACATATTGGATAAGGGACTTATATCCAGAATTTATAAAATACTTGATCACCACAACAAGATAAAGGTAAATAATCCAATAGAAAAATGGGCACAGGATATGAATAGACACATCACCAAAGAAGACATTCAGGTGGCCAACAAGCATATGAAGAAATGCTCAAAATCTCTAGCTTTAAGAGAGATGTAAATCAAGACAACTATGAGATATCATCTCACTCCAGTAAGATTAGCAAAATTTACATAGCAGCAAGCACCTCTGCTGGTGAGGTTGTGGAGAGACTGGAACCCTTTTTCACTGTTGGTGGGAGTGTAAAATGGTGCAACCACTGTGGAAGGCAGTGTGGCGCTTTCTCAAAAAGTTGCAAATAGAGATACCATTTGACCCAGCAATTCCACTACTAGGAATATACCCTAAAGAGACCATAACCAACATCCAAGCAGATATATGCACACCGATGTTTATCATGGCTTTGTTCACAATAGCAAGGAGTTGGAAACAACCTAAGTGCCCATCACCAAACGAATGGATAGAGAAGCTGTGGTATATTCACACAATGAAATACTACACTGCATTGAAACACAAGGAACACATGCAATATTATTCAAAATGGGTGACCCTCAACGACATTATGCTGAGGGAAATATCTCAGTCACAAAAAGACAAATACTGTATGGTGCCACTGTTGTAGAATGAGGATGACATCAGGGTGGGGGTAAGACTGAGAAAAACTGGATAAATTATGTAGCCGATGAGGCAGAGAACAGTTCAAAAGTAATATATTTTAGGGCATTATGATTATCATAAAGGTTCGGAATGAGGGTTGCAGAGTGGAGTGTACTCTGGATGGGGGTGGGAGAGGCGGGGGGATTGTATACCAATGAAGGAGTTTTTCTTTTGCTTTTCAAGGAGAAGAGCGAACTGGGGGTGGGGATGGGGTGGGCGGGGAGAAAAGTGCAACAATGAATGAGTAGAAATCCAAAATCTTTGTAAATGTTCATTGAAATTAATTTTTTAAAAAAACAAAACAAACAAACAAACAAAAAAAAACAAACCCCACAGTCTCCAAAGTAAAGACCACCGCAAACGCCTATTGAAATTACTTGAGGCATAAAACTTCTCTTAAACTTTTGAACAGAACTTAGTAAAAGTATTTCCACTGCACCCAGTACACAGTGTGTACTTAACAAATACTTTATTCATCACTTAGTCATTTCATGTAGACTTTTATGTAGGAGTAATGTGGGTTGATGCCTCTAGGCATTTGAAGTAATGTCCAATTCTAATTGAGGACAGCACTGTACTATATCATTAATCTGTTATAGCCATTTCCCCCGCAACTAATAAAATGTGCTTTGTTGTTATTATCTATCATTGAGTAGAAAGCGACTCAGAACTGACCCTCCAGTGGGTTTTTATAGGTTGTAAATAGTCTGCGAGGAGATTACCCATTTTTGCCTGTGGGCCAAGTGAATAGAAACTTCAAAAAACATTTTCACCTTTCCCAAACCTTGTTGTTGTTGTTGTTGAGTACATCTAATAGGAACCCTCTTGAAGGTTTTCAAAGGTAATAAGTCACATGGGAGGATATTGCCCATATTTCCTCCATGAAGCAGCTGGAGGATTCAAACCATATGCCTTTGGGATTGCGGCAGAGATTCTTACCACTAAGCCACCAGTGCTCCTTTCCCTTAACCTTAACCAATGTTTTTCAAAATTTTCATAATTTGCACATTTCCACCAGAAAAATCTTAAAGATGAAACAGCCACAATGTATGCATAATTATTTATTTATCAATTGTATAACCTGTGTAATGAATAGAAATGGCAATGTTCACATATCTGATGTCTAGACTGTGGCTGAAAGCATCTATTGTTTGCTTCTAGAAAGGCTAGTATGAGCAAAGATCTTCAGTATCAGGTCACTGAGTGCATGTGATGTCATCTCAGTCATTGGCCCATTCTTTCAGATTAATCTCATCAAAAGAAACAGACTTTAAGCGTTTAAGACAAAATTATGATTCAATGATCGGATAATGATTTAAAAGACTTTATTTCCAGGGAAACAGCTTTTTATGGTCATGCTAAGTGCTATATTTCTTTCTAGATAAAAAGAGCTAAGTACTGATGATACAGTAGGATAAATGGAAAGGCAATAAGGCTGCAGTATATCCTTGATGCATGTCAAAGGAAATGGTACAGAAAAAGAGGAATTTATTTCTTAAGGCCATAAGGACTGAACAATTTAATCTTCTATTCCAGAAAATCAGCAGTAATCAACACAGCTCAGTAAAATATTTAAAAATTAAGATAACTACAGGCACTGCAGTGGCACTCTGTATGGTTGTTCACTTTGGTCTTTCCCGTTACTGTGACCTAAAGAGAAAGAAAGGAATAGATATATTTGTTGTTGTTGTGTACTGTAGAGTTGGAACCAACCCATAGCTGACCTCCAATGGGTTTTCAGAGGCAGTTAATTACACAGAAGGAGATTGCTTATCCTTTTCCTTCATGGCAGCTGGTGGCCTCAAACCATTTGCTTTTGGGATTGCAGCAACACTCCTTGCCACTAGGCCACCAAAGATTTTATACATACATATTCCATTTAAAAAAACAGACCACCCTTAGATGCATCCTGAAATACAATGTTAGGAGTGACAAGATAATATCCAGACATATACAGGGAAGACTTGTTAATATGACTAACATTCAAATATATGCACCAACAACCAGAGCCAAACAGGAGTCTCAGAGTGACCCTAACAGATTAACAAGAGGACCAGAGGAGAGGGAATATAAAAAGTAATTAACTGACTAAAGGTTGCCAATTGTCCAAATCTGATGGGGGGAAAAAAACCCCAAACAAACAGAAAACAACTTTCGACCAGCAAATAAAAAAAAAAGAATGCAAAATACAGTCCCAGATTGGGTTGAAACCAAGTTATTCCAACCAATAATATCAATCTACCCTACGTCAGGTAACTATATAAAGCAATGCTCGTAAAAGATAAATGTATACATCAACACTTCCCTTCCAGCTTCTTGCTCCCTGTATTGGTGTTATGTGCTGTCGAGTTGACTTAAGATTCACAGTGACTCTATAAACAAAGGCTCAGAACCCTGCCCTATCCAGAGCTAACCAAACCGTCTCAGACACATCTGACCCCATTGCTACATTTATAGTGTAAATCTGTCTCATCCAGGATCTTCCTCTCCTGTGCTGACCCTCCACTCTTCTAAGCATGATGCCCTCCTCCAAGGACTGGTTCTTCCTGAAAACATGCTTAAAGTATGTGAGACAGAGCTTCAAAACCCTTGCTGCCAAGGAGTGATCTGGTTTCGCCTTATCTAGGACAGACCTGTTTGTTCTCTTGTTATGTTGTTGTTATTGTGTGCTCTTAAGTTGGAACCAACCCATACTTGACCCTCCAGCAGGTTTTCAGAGGTAGTTAATCACATGGGTAGAGATTGCCCATCCTTCTCCCATGGAGCAGCTGATGGCCTCAAAACACATGCCTTCCTAAACAGCATGCCTCTGGAAACTCTATGAACTTTGACAATTGACAACAATTATAGAAAGGTCTTTTGTTCATAAGGTCACTATGTATGAGTCATGCTCAACTCAACAGCAATCAACAACAATAATTAAATACATATATGCAAATATACTTTAAAAAATCTATATGCAGCCAGACGAGCTGAGCAACTGCTCACTATACTTACATATTCTACTTTCTAAGTGCTGTTTCACTCTAAAAGCATAGATTTACATTGTGTCTTCACCTCCATCCCATTCTCTTCATTCTATATAAATGCAACTATACCCACAAGACTACTGACTCTATGAATTAAAAGGAACAAATGTAGGCCTTCACTATATAGGTATTTGATAAATACCTATCAAAGGATGAGTCACCTACAGCTTTGAAACTCTTGGATGCACTCTGTGGGCATGTTTCTGGTTAGACTGTTTAAACGTTTCTGGGATCATTTTTGATCTCACCTTTGTAAATGCCTTGGCCACACAGCACGTGGCCTCTGAGGTGATGTTCTTTGGTACTATCATTGTCTGCTTGGATCTCACTGGAGTCGGGTATGCTTTGGAGAAGCAGCAGCCCATGCACTGATATATTGGGATGCCAAACTTGGAAAAGTATTTGTTTTCTTTCAACTTGCATTCTGGGCAATCTATCATTTAAAAGGCAAAGAGTAAATTAAGTTAAAGAAGGTTAAAATAAGAAACCCTGAATATTTCCTTATGTATAGGATAACAAAGGGTCTTTTTATTTCCTGTTGAAATGAAATTCTTGATTTGCTATGAATTTGATCTTTCTACATTATATTTATGTGTACTGATTTCAGTTATTTACATAGGAAAGCAATGCTTGTAGACATGCATGGAAAATCACAGTTGTACAAGTTTCTCACTCTTCATCATGAATCCTCTTCCAACGCTAATAGTATACCAATAAGAAACACAAACTTGACAGATAAAAACATAAGGCTCAACTGAGAAGATAATTTTGCCCAGAGGCAAAATATTCTCCTTCTTGGTTTGTGTTGTTGGTTTTCCTCATAGAAATTCCAAATATTGACAGAGGAAACTACCTCAGAGTTAAAAATGCTCAGTGTATACAAAAAGCCTAGTATTCGATCTAGAAAGTGCACTTGGGATTTGAGATTACAATATTACCATTTAGGTAGAGAAAAACCCTAACCAATAGTGGTTCATAATTTTATAGCAGATGGAATTATACTAGCTACTATACAAGATATTTTTACAAGCAATGCAGCAAACAAATTAATTGTATAAAATAGTTGTATTTTTCTCACTTCTTAAGTGATATGAAAATTCATCTTAAAATAAAGTATTAAAATCTTCTCAAATCTTCTAGGAAGAATGCAAAAAAAAGTTTTAAATAAAACAGCCTAATAGGAAGCAGTATCTGCTTCAAAAACTGAGACAAAGCATAATATGAACTCTATTTCAAATGGAAATGTATAAGCTGATATTTAAATGGACATGTGAGACATCATTGACTGTGTGTTTTCTGAATTTAACTTAATTTTATGGTCACAAATGTATCCAGCAAGCAAAGACTTATTAAAAAAGAATATAAATGTACAGAATGAAGGTTTCTATGTAGCTCTAAAAAGGTATGTTATTCTTTTTCTAACAAACCAAGATTTATCAAGCACCTCGCTTTGCAAATACTCCACCAGGGAAAGAACTGAGGACATGCAGAAACACGAATAGTGTGGCCACAATGACAGCTGCATGTTTTCTGTAATAATCCATGGCTCTCCTGCAGAACAGAAAGGGAGTAGGAGAAAAGATTGTTAATCTATAATTGACTTGCCTGTCATAACAACAACCAGTAATGCTTTAGCATTACTACTAATAACAATGATCACTATTTGACGCTTCAAGCTGTGGTGTTGTCAAAGAATATTAAACATACCATAGACTGTAAAAAAAAAATAAACCAACCCAAGCTAATCTATCTTGAAGGAAGTATAGCAGCCACGGTGCCCGTTAGAGAAAAAGATAGTGAGATTTTGTCTCATACACTTTAGGCATAATATCAGGAAGTCCTTAGAAAAGACCATCATTTATAGAAAAGCAAAGGGTCAGTGAAAGAGAAGAGATGAATGGATTGGCACATACAGTGTCTAGAACACAAGTAAAGTGTAGAAGAGATTGTGAGGATGGTGCAGGATCAAGCAAAGCTGCATTTTGTTGTATATAGGGTCTCTGTAAGTCAGAACTGCCTAAATGACACCTATCAACAATAGTCCACAATGCGCAACATCATTAACTCAGACTTAAGGTGATGACTCCATATGTGGCAGAGTAGAATTGTGCTTCACAAGGTTTTCAAGGGTATAAGCCCTTTTGGAAGGAGTCCTGTTGGCAAAATGGGTTAAGTGTTGGAATACTTACTGAAAGGTCAGGGTTGGAATTATGGAGGAAAGATATGCTAGGCATTCTGCTCCTGTTTAAAGTTCACAGCCTCAGAAACCAGATGATGTAGTTCTTAGAGGAAGAAAGTCACAGTTGCCCCCAGGCCTGATCACTCCTTGAAGAAACCTCATAATGTCTAAAGTGACCAGACAAGAGGATATAGATCCTGATAAGGCTCTGGGGCTGATCACAAGAGCCCATACTCAAGTTATTTAACAGGACCCCTGTTCCAAATTAAGAGCAAAATACCTTCTTCCTTAGTCTTCCCTAAAAGTCCCCATAAAAAGGAACAATGTGTATGAACTAAAATAAAAGTTGTCTTTGCAAAAAAAAGGGAACTGTCCTTATCTGCCCTCTGGCCTTTTTTGCTACTCCAGTGGTCACTTGGTGTCCCTCTCAGACCATGCAATAAAGGCCTGTTTGTTTCTAGGGACCAGCTTCTTTCTCTCTTTTGCTTTCAACTCTTTTTTGTATCTAACAGATCTACTCTGTCCTATAAGATCACTATGAGTTGCAATTAATGGTAATTTGTTTAGGGATTTTTGTTTGGTGTTGTTTTGGGGGTTTTTTTAATATTTTGAGGCATATCACCAAGCCTATCTTTCAAGGTTCCTTTGAGTGAATTTAAACTCTCTCAGCCTTTCTGCTAGATTCCCAACACATTAATTGTTTATACCACCCAGGAATAAATATATTCTAAAATCATATCTTTGACAGTAACAAAAATGGAGCCTCATCCTGCTGTCAGCTTACCTGCAGTCTTGGAATCTCACCAGTCACCTCCTGTTCCTTGATCACCTCCTGCTCCTTGAGGACACTTAACAAGTAAACTTGATCTGTGCTCTGTGCGAGAACACTTTTGACCCAGTCCAGTCCCGCCCTCAGCTTCTGACACAGCCCAGTCCTGCCTTCAATCTGCCTTCATTCTGAGAACCTCCCTATCCCCTCAGGCTCCTTCAGGACACCTTTAATAGGTGAACCTGGCCAGGACTCTGTGCAAAATCACTTCTGACCCAGCCCAGTCACCCACCCACCCCCGGCTGCCTGCAGTATGGAAACCTCCCCATCATCTTCAACTCTGCCTTGCACTTTGCAGAACCTACATCCCATATTTCTACTTCCTAGATGCTATATTCTGTGAGCCCAGGAACCTGAGAGAAATTTGGACAGGGTGAGCTACATCTCCCTCTTTTGAAGCAGTGATCTCCCCACCCAAGGTACACAGACCAAGGACCTGTTAGACACCATGTGAAAGGTTAAATAAACAAAAAACCCCATCACAGTAATGACAAAGAAGAAACAGACTATATTACAGTCTACACAGGGAAGAAACAGACTACATCACAGTCTACACAAAGCCAAAACAAGATTTCACCCCATGAAAGTTACCAAAACACAGAATCAGTGGATTTTCTGAAGCTAGAAAGTCTGATGGAACTCTAAAACAGAACTCAAAAGAATAATGATTGAAAATGAGTGAAAGAAATACCCAAAGAATTATAGACTTATACAAGCAAAAGCCAAGAGGAACTTAGAAAAACAATTTAAGCCAATGCAGATTTAAAAAAAAACCCAAACAACCAAGGTATGAGAAATCCTTACAAAACAAAAGACTGCAATCCAGAATGTTAGGACTAGTGCCTCAGAAACTGTCAACATGCTGGAGGGACAGATGAATAAAACTACAGAGAGAGAACTCAGAATCAGTGAAATAGAAGAGTGATCTTTCAGCACTCATCTGCTAGAAGAAAAAGCAGAATCAAAAAGGAAGGAATGTGAAGAAGCCTAAGTATAATTTAGGACACCATCAAGAAGAAAAACATGCATGTAATTTCTCATCAACAATCTGCATTATGAAGATGACACAATCTTGCTTGCTGAAAACCTGAAGTGATTGCTGCAGAAGGTCAAGGATAGGAGCCTTCACTATGGATTGAAGCTCAATGTCAAGAAAACAATGATTCTTATCACTGGGCCTATTGTCAGCATCATTAAGAAATTGATATTATGAATAGTTTTCGTTTGCTTGACTTCACAGTCAACACTCTTGGTATCAACAGTCAGGATATTAAAAGACAAATGGCATTAGGAAAGTCTCTAAAGTACTAAGGAGCAACAATGTCAGTCTGGAGACTAAGGTGTGCCTGATCCAGGGCATATTCTTGCAATTACTTGCTTTGCATCAGAAAGCTGACTAGGGATGGTAGAAGGAGAATCTATCTTTAAGTTTTGGTTCTGGAGAAGAGTGTTGTGTATATCATGGACTGCTAGAACAAACAGGTTCCTCCTAGAAAGGGTGAGACCAAGTTACTCCTTGGAGGCAAGGATCCCAAAGTTTTATCTGACATACTTTGAACATGTTGCAAGGCAGTGCTTGGAGAGGGATGTCATGCTTGGAGGGTGGAGGGACAGTACAAGAGAGGAAGATACTGATTTGGTGTCTGGGGTAATGTGGTAGGTGTGTCAGAGACAATAAGATTGGCACAGGATAAAGCAGAATTTAGGGCTGTTGTACATAAAGTCTCTGAGTCTCAGGCAACTTGACAGCACATAGCAACAATAACAAGAAAAAATTGGATTTCCAGAACAAGAAGAAGCAAGGAAAAAACCCAACAACCTGACGCTGCCAACCTGAAAAAGTTGAGGAAGAGTTACTTGAAAAAAACTTTCCAGGAATAATGAAAAGTGACAGGATATAGCTGAGAGAACTCCAGATAGTACTCATCAACAAACAATGGATAGAGAAGCTGTGGTATATTCACACAATGGAATACTACACTGCATTGAAAAACAAGGAACTCATGCAATATTACACAAAACGGGTGACCCTGGAGGACATTATGCTGAGTGAAGTATCTCAGTCACAAAAAGACAAATACTGCATAGTGTCACTGTTGTAAAACTGGACTGACATTGGTGTTGGGAGGAGACTGAGAAAGATGGGATAAATAATGCATACTGCACTGAAACAGAAAACTGTTTAAAAGGAATATGTGATTAGGTATTTTTGTCATGACTGGAGTCTAGAGCGAAGGCTGTATAGTGGAGTGGATGTGTGGGGAAGGATTGTAAAACAATGAAAGAATTTTTCTTTTGCTTTTCAAACAGGGAAGTGTACTTGGGGGTGGGGGAAGGGGAGAAAAGTGCAACAGTAAATGAATGGAAATCCAAGTCTCTGTAAATTTTCATTGAAATTAATAACAAAAAAAATTTTTTTAAAGAAACTAGATTTGCCACCTAAACAGATGTGTGCACACCTATGTTTATTGCTGCTTTACTCACAATAGCAAAGAGATGGATGCAATCCAAGTGCCCATCAACAAAAGAACGAATAGAAAAACTATGGTATATTCACACAATCAAATACTACACAGCATTGGAAAAACAAGGAACTCACATTACATAACACTAGTGACCCAGGAGGACATTATGTTGAATGAAACATCTCAGTCACAAAAGGACAAACACTGAATAATACCATTGTTATAAAACAGGATTGAAATGAGAGTTGGGAGAAAACTGAGAAAAGAGGGGATAAATATTGAACCCTGCATCCGAGTACATGAAGGAAAGAACTGTTCAAATGGAATATGTGACTTGCAAAATGTGGCTCTTCTTGCAAGACCCAGCTTGTTGGGGACCTTATCATTACTCTGTTCACCTAGACCTGTGTGGCCTGGTGGGCCCAGGAGTGTCTTCCAGCTACTGCTTCCTCATTGTCTGCTAAAGGCTGTGGCCAAACCCAGGTGTGCTCACATGCTGGCCAGCAACAGAACCACTGCCTGCAAGCTTGAATGGCTACAGCCTTACTGAACTGCAGCTGCCCTCACTTTCCAGCACCAGGAGCACCAGTATCACTGGTACTTTTGAGAAAAACACTGCTGTCTAGCTACACCACATGGGACCCCATAAGCTCAAGCAGAATGGACTGAGAAAGCTCAAGCTCATTAGAGATGTCATTTCTGGAAGTGAACAACAAGCTCCCTGGTTTGCCGTTTAGGTATTTTGGGTAAAACACTGCTGTTGGGTCTCAGGACAAGAAGGGAGTACAAATATACAGGTCCTTCACAAAACATTACTATCCTGTGGATCACTATATAGTTAGAAAAACCTAAAATCTGCTAAGAAAAGAATCACATAATGTCAAGAAAGCGGTAGTCTGTCTCAGTCATCATGAAAAAACAAAATAACCTTAAAGTAGCTGTAATATAAATAACATTATAAAAATTATTTCAGTTCCTTTGTAACTATCCTTGTAACAGTGGTGAGGGGTTTTTATTATATATTTATTAATTTTAATGATAGTTTACAGAAAATTTGGATTTCCATTTATT